CTTTGCATATTAAGAAATTGTACAATGCTAATTGTGAAATCGAATAAACTGAAACCTATCTCATTAATAATGTATTTGCGATTCAGTATACGTATGCATATTACACTGAAAGATGATTTAGTTGTACACTATTGTACACTCACAGTGTATGCATGGGAAGATTTTCCTGGAAAGACGATGTTGTGTTGTTGGCAAATGATGAAAGTGAGCTGTATGAGAGGCCTACCTTCTTGCTTGAAAAATTTTCTACATTTGCGAAGATATGGAAGCTAACTTTTAAATACAAAAAGTCACAAAAACCATTTTGTTGAAGAGCGTATAAATTAAATTTTGGCGATAAAAATGTATTTCAGAAGTGTTAGTTATAGTGTTAGCTATAAGCTGTTTCATTAAAAGTTGTGCCGATATAAGATTGAAAATAGGTTCAATTTGTTTTAATTAATGTTTTGGAGATGCACCTGTTGCATGGTTTTAAACATTTAATACATGATTCGAATGTTACTTTTGGAAAGTGAAATCTTAAGAAAATCATCACTTTTATAATACTTTTCCATCAAATGTCGTCCGAGTATGGATACAATACTTTTTTGGTTATATTTATAATATCAAGTTAATAAACGTTTTATTGGTATTATTCCTATCGTTATTATAAGAAAAATGTAAACATGTATTTCAGAAATGTTACTAGTATTGTTGAGCCAATCTATAAACTGTTTCATTAAGACCTCTGCAGATATAATATTAAAAATTGTTTGAAATTGTTAATTCATATGTTGGAGATGCACCCGATCTGGGTTAATGGTTGTAAAATGTTATACATGTTTCGAATATTACTTTTGGAAAGTGAAATATTAAGAAAATCATCACTTTTATCATACCTTTCAAATGTAGTCCGAGTATAAATAAAATAATATAAAGGTCAAATGTTCTTCCATTAGGCCACAGGACAGGTAAATAAGTACCAGACAATGATGGCACTAGCCAAATTTGTAACATGACCGGATGAACGTTTTTCAAAGTTGGGGGAGGGTGACACTAGTAAGATGAATGGGAATATGAATTGAGAGGGAGCCGGTCATACAAAAATCTTCATAGACATTTTATATTTTCTTCAAAAAAGGTAGGGGGCGAGCCGGCCCCCCGGTTCCGCTGGCCATGTGTAATAACGGTATTGAAGATACTAAAGCATGTTTATTCACATCTAATCGACTATTTTAAAATGCAATTAGTATTGAAGAATATGATTTGGAAAGTAGTTATCGATTACCTTAATATATGGAAATATATTATCTTTACTGATATGTACACAATCAGATAGTGTTAATTACTGGGGTGAATGCGAATTTTAATTATAATGGGTGATAGTATGTGTGATCGATTTTGCAAATCGAGAGAGCATAGAAGCTTAGAAATAATTTATTCATAAATTCCTATAATAAGCAAGTCGTTTGTAGAAGTCTGTGGCGCAGCGTGTAAAGGCCAACTCAGACAGCGTCGGCCGACGCAGCCCGACCCGATTTATCGTCGGGGACAGTCTTAAGCCGTCGTGAGAAATATTAAACATGTTTAATATTCCACGACGCGACTGCCCCCGACACAAACCATCGCGTCTGCGTTTAACTCACACAGGCCCGACGCGAAAACAAATCGCGTCGGGCTGCGTCTTACGACGCTGTCTGAGTTGGCCTTATAAGGTGTTTGAATCTCAATCGGAATGTCGGGGGTTCGAGACCGATGTTCGTCACACTGCTTTGTCTCTTTAGGAAAAACACTTATCTGAATTTGCCTCTCTTCACCCAGGAGTATAAATTGCTACCTGGTAACAGGTGAATGTTTCGGAATTAAATTAGTAGTGCTGATTACACGCATAACTAGGAATACTCCCGGGGAGAGGAGGAGGTTTCACGTTGTGTATGATTGGTTCTGTATCTAATAACTAGGGAAGCGCTTTTAGCAATTTTCTGGATATTTGCGCTGTACAAGTTCTATAAATTAAAATAAATAATAGGGACCATCCATTGTTTTCATAATTTTCGCAAAACATATGTTTTTGGTACTGTAGAATGCTTGCTCTTGGCATCTAGGCGAGGCCTCTATCAAAGACCTTCATCAGCTGCTTGGTCGTATTGCAACATTATTATTGCGACCGTGTAGTTGGTTGTTGATGTTGGGCACTTCCGGTGCTATGGGCTGGGCCATTCCAAGGGGTTACTCCGTTTACTGTATGGCTATTGCAAGAGCAGATGTGTCTTATAGTCTGATGATGTTCATTTTTTAGTATTATAGTTAAAAATACCCTCATTATTTCAACTTTTTAGTTCCAATAGGCTGTCAAACGGGAAATCATATCTACGGTTACATTCATCTACCAAGTGATATCATACGCTTCAGTGTTAACACGACTTTGGATTTTAATACCACGGAAGGACATTTTCTGTTCACGTCGAATTTCTCCCGGAGTCCATTTTATTTTAACATTACAGTGGGGAGTAATGGGTTAAATAAATTTAAAATCAAGAGTACCTGTGATTTCAACAACAGCATCGAGTTTGAGCCAACAGAAGTTAATGTGCACAGCGTCGCAATATCATATGAAAACGGATACATCATGATCAGACACATAGATGGATCGACAATAGCCAAGTCGCCACAGAAAACGTTTATGCCAAGATACTTTTGGTATAACAGAAATATCCAGATTTCAGGGTGCATAATCGGTAAAAGCTTAAATATTATTCAAATAAAGAATATTTTAATGATGTGAAATATTCCCTATGTTCTATTCAATAATTTTGTTGAATGTTGAGTGTTGAGTGGAATTTTCTAAACTGTAAATGCAGCGTCACGAGAGTTTAAACACATTATACAGCTTCTTGAAATATGGACCCGCTAAACCTGTTTAGGCATAGCGTAAATGTCTTGACGAGATGAACATTAATGTGCTTAGAGGTAAAACAATATAAAGGGCTATACGCTTAATTTTAAACGCGTCACCAAAAGGTGGACAAAATTGTGCGGAGCATTGTGTTTGTGTTTTTTATAGTGTATTTTTCACCATGTTAATCTTATCTTTCTTGTACATCAATAAGTTTTTTACGGTAATAAAATGTATACATTATCCATTGCGGTATCCTGAACTGCACACAAAATGATAGGGAGCGTCATTGAAAACTTAATAACTAAACAATCAGAACGTATCAACGTAATTGCACAGTGTACTCCCATTCCTACGAAATACGCAGTTTTTACGTACGCTTGGAAAGTAAAAAAAAAACTTCAGGGGTTATTTCCAGACGTCTAGAAATGAAACAAAAATTTCACAGATTATTTCCCCTGAGTAGTGTTGTCTCTAAGTCACCCCGTCCCCCGTCCCTTTCGCACCCCTCCCCAATTTCTTCGGACATCTCTGGATCCGCCCCTTAATATGTCCATTGAAAACACAAGTTTTCATCACCACACTACGATGAATCTAGAGTAGGGTATACATCTTCATCATGGTATAGGGTTTTAAAATTTCCGATGACCAGATACCTTCAAGGTCTCGGTAAACGTCCAGTTATGGCTACATAGTAAGGTCAATTATTAATCAAGTAATGTCTATCTACAACAACATCTTTATTATTATCAAGTTATGTATTTAAATGAGCACGTATTCCGTTTTCTCCTTTCTATATCATTTTACAGGGTTGGATGAACAATGTAGTGCGGAGTACTCAGTAAATACTCTCACTCAGTCATTAGAGGTGAATTGTGCACTAACCGAATGTGTTTGGAACATCGATGACAGAAAAGACCAATTTGAAAAATGTGATACCAAATGTGAACACAAGATTGCAAACTGCACCGATTATCTTGCAATGTATGAGACTAACGATAAAGCCAAAGTTAGTCCTGCCACCGGAACACCTATCCCTGCCCTCGGAACACCTACCCCTGTCATTGGGACACATATCACCGCCTCTGGGACACATATTCCGATGAATGCAGAAAAAACCCAGATGCAGAGTGGTCACAGAACTGAGCAGATTTCTACAGCAGACATGGATCAAAGCGAAAACACTAAAACGATTGGAAACTATATTGTAGGAGATAGTAACACTGGCTCCAGCTTAACGACAGTTGCAACAACAGCCATCGAAAGCGACGACACATTCGTTAACTTTTGGTACCAGTTAATTACCGCCAAGTACACGGAATATTGCAACACAAGCCTCTCGCTGGAAACAAATACAACAAATGTGAAAGGTAACTTTTTCTGCTTGCTAAATTCATTCTTAATCATGCTCTTTTTCATTGCAATATATTGAACACAAAAGAACGTTTTACTGGATAAATCGAATGTATGAGGTGTAAACCGGTCTATCATTTTATGGCTTAATAACTGTTTAATGCTTAGGGAACAATTTGTGTGTTTTAACAACTGTAAGTCAGAAATCCGTACGTGCAATACTGGGGCACACCAGGGCTGTGTCCTTTCTCCAATTTTTCTTTATATACTAATGATTTAAACTGTATAGACGATGGAACTTTAACTTTAGTGTTTG